TACGGTAACGATAAAGATATCAGTAACATTTTTATTTTTTACGTCTATCATGATTTTAAATTATGTTCTCACTGTGACATTACTTCGTACCGATAATGGACTCGACGCTAAAAGATATGGCTGCCTTTTTATCTACGGAATTTTTATTTTGGAAGTCTTTTACCGTAGAAATGAAGCCATCAAAATTGTCCTGTAGTCTTCGTGGTTCTGTAAGACGTCCGAACCATGGAATTGTAGGGTATACAGTTCGAAATGATTGAAATCTTAGGGTGGATTCAAGATCCTGTTTTTGGCCTTGAGAAACGGCCGGCAAAGAGGGAAGTAAACGATTATCCGAAGAAACTAAAATATGTATATTTCTCTATAATTATTAAGCTTTCAATTAAATATAAAATTGTTCATATTTTATTATATATAGGTTCAATAAGGAGAGTAAAATATTTAAAATAACTTACAAACTTCTGGTATGGTGTTATGATTACCACCGAGACCGCAGAATCCTTGCATTACGCTGATGCTGGTACGAGTGAAATGCATTTGATGTTGTTGAAAATTTCTCGATGTCCTTTTATTGTTCAACCTAGCAACGTCATTAGGAACGTTAAATCTAGAAATACCAGAAACATCCGCCGGAACTTGGCCGTGTGGAGTAACGAAATTAGTATCAACGAAACAATTATCACGAGCTTGTTGTTGCCTACGTAGAGCTACTTGTGCTGCCATTACCCTTTGCCTTTCAACAACGAGTAAGCAACAAGGACAACGGCAGTCCTTCCAAGCACATGATCTCTTATGACCCTTCAATCCAGAAATCACACCATGATTTCGACACCTCGCACATTTTGGACTTCTCAAACGTTGCTCTAATCCAGAGTTTAATTGATTCGGTGCACCATTCTCTATCTTCATTATGACGAATTCTTCTTTTTCTTTTTTCTTTTTTCTCCTTTCTGGTAATTAATAATTCTTTATAAGATGTTTGCGTAAGATTTCTGATATGAATGATTAGATTTAGAAATATTGTAAGAAACTCCAAACACTATCTTTATACATATTTTAATATGGAAAATTAATATCGATAAATGAAAAAAGGCTTAGCAATCTTTTTAATATTCTTTTGATAAATCACTTTTTTCATAGATATTTTCACATTCCTTTTGATATATCTTTATCAACGTTTCTTATTATAACGTACATCTTTATAATAGGATCCGTTAAACTTGCTACGCACTTGCGATGTGCGATAAGTTGTATACTTCGAAGGATCTTTCTGATCGTTTAGAGAAGGAGGTCCTCCTTCATCTCCTCCTACTAATTCAAAATGTATTTTTAGAGATTTGAGATCTTCGGATTGGTCCGAAACTCGATGAAACTCCGCCAGTTTCGTAGCCTACAGACCAATGAGCCAAAGAGATCTCTCTTGTTTTCTTCCTCTTATTATTTTCTTCTACTTCTCTGCCTCTTGTTACCGATATGTTGTAGCAGCATTCTCTAACTTAAAGAGAGGAAGAAGAGAGAACTTGATAGCTTTCCCGATAGTATAAACATATCTATCTCTCTGTCGAAGAGAGAAACGAAAAACATACAATACATACATGCATGCGTGCATACATCTATCTATTTAAGCTCAGAGTCACGATTCTGTAACATAAGTTTCGCTTAAACCTTTTGGTATATACAATTAATCGTAATTTATTTGACAAAAATGGGACATGTATCACATCATACATATACGATATGTATAAATTTGGCATATATAAACATCTAATATACAATTATAATAATCCTAACTCTTTTAAATTATATTATTAATTTAAAAAGCAACTGTTGTAATAGAAACCGTTGAAGGATTGTAATATTACGTAAATGATACTCAAAATGTGGAAAGGAAGGAAGGAAGGAAGGAAGGAAGGAAGGAAGAAAGAAAGAAAGAAAAAGAAAAAAAACAAAGAAAAGAAAAAGAATAAGGAGTAAGATGATGAGTAGAGAAAATCTTAGAGGAAGTTCACGGTGTGCCACTCATGCGTTATGAAAACATACTCGAAACTAATATTAACTGTGTGTTGGCAACATACGAGAGAGGATCGTATTAACGAGCTCTTAGAACGAGATCACAGAACGAATGCCATGTGTTTGCAGCTGGTGGGATATACCGTAGTTATAGTAAAGCAAGATAGTCCCTCCTTTTCTATTTTCGCGGTATACGATAGACGTTTAATGTGTATATACACGAAATAAGAAAAATGTTGCATTATATATTCAGTTTTAAAGCTATAAACAATTACATACATTTTTATTTTTTTCATTCTTTTTTTATACACTCCCGATCCGATTTGATTAATCATGTATTATTTTTTTTATACTTGCAACAGCAATGAGAAATCATTTCTAAAGAAATTGATATTTATATTCAACTGATCTTTTTTTTTCTTTCCTTTTGTTTTTCTTCTTTTTTTTCCTTCAGAAAGTAAAAACGATGTTTCTACTAAGCGAACGAAAGAATATTATTTAAGCGAGAATTAAAGAAAATTTTTTTTTTTCTTTTTTTTCCTTCAGGAAATAAAAACGATGTTTCTACTAAGCGAACGAAAGAATATTATTTAGGCGAGAGTTTAAATTTATATATATATATATCCGAAAGAGTACGCGTGAAATGCGTCGAGGAATTTCGTCTAATGAGCGTGAAACGAAGGGGTGTCGTTCAAACGCTTTTTCCTGCTTCTCCCTCCTCGGAACCAGAGAAGTCTTTGGCCGAGAGTGCTGTCAGTACGGCAAATATGTTGACAGGTCATTTAACATCTTTTCTACATATCATCGCAACGAGACAAAACGAGAATGCATGACTAAAACACAATATCATCGACTAACACATTTATATATTCGAACATTTATTTTAATTCTCTGTTCGTCTCTCTGTCTGTCTGTCTGTCTGTCTGTCTGTATGTCCGTCTGTCTGTCTGTCTGTCTGTCTGTTTATATGTATGTTTATATGTATGTTTATATGTATGTTTATTATATGTATGTTATAGAAAAACGTTCGAATAGGAAAAAAATAATTTAGGGTTTTTTCTCTTCTCTCTCTCTCTCTCTCTTTCTCTTTTTTTTTCTCTCGATATCGATGCTATTAATAAAAATATTTTAAAAAATATTATCTATATATTATCCTACAAATATATATATATATATCAACTTATTTTTATTAATAATAATAAAAATAAATTTTAATACGTTTCATTGGTTACCCATAAAGGCAAGAATTCAAAAATACTCTGAGTTTGACTCGAAACGTTTTTATAATTTTGACATTTGCAAGACGACAGACGTCGCATTTGTTCGTGAATAAAAAGATCCGTCATTTCCATACGAATTGTACGATTAATTATTGAAAGAAAAATTCTTGTTTCTCTTGCTAATCATTCGAATGGCAGAAGTACAAACGATGCAAGTTATTATATGAATCACGATCATGTTGCAAGATCAAGATATTTAGTGAGGAAATAACTAAGCCTGTTGTTGCGGGTTAGAACATCGATAAGAGAAAAGTTTCATCCGTAAAGCGATTTTATATGTATCCGATAATTTTATTCGTTTCTTTATTTTCTTTTTTTTTCTTTCTTCCTTCTTTTTTTTTTCAATGTAGTAACTAATCCGACTGATCTAAGCAGTTCATATATATATATTTTTTTTTTATTTCCAGGAAGTATGATTTCTCATGACTTACTTGAAGAAAATATCATCAATATCTTTAAGAATTTGATAATCTTAAAATCCTAAGAAAAAGAAAAAAAAAAAAAGAAAACCAAAGAAAATTGAAGATTAACTTTGCAATGCCACATTGCACAACAAATTTTGCTTGGTATCTCGGAAAATTTCTCATTGGATTTACAGGAATGCTAATTTTATATATGAGCTTTTTGAAAGACAAGTAAAATAGATACATATCACGAGTTAAGTAATGGCATTAAGTTTACGCGATATTAAAAATCTATATACTTGTTTATCAGAGAATCCACTTATCCGTATAAACCAGGAATGAAAGTACCATTAGCAGGAAAAAAGAGTCAAAAGTGAGTCACGCTAGTCATACGCGCGAGCATACATACGTTCTTCTGCAATTCCATTATTTTTATCTAATTTATGAGTTATGTAAAAATTAAATATGAAAGAGTAATCCGTATCGTATGACTAGCTTGGTAGTATGTGTGCATTTATGATGATTACAATTTAAACGAAATTAATAATACTCAGTAATAATACATGCTCCACAGGCGATCAGATAGATGTGAATGCAACGAAGCGTAAGTCATTTTACAATATCTTTTACGAGTATAAACCTAAAATATATATATAGGGTGTCATGAAAGTATGGGACCAATATACTACGTATACCAATATATCAGTATACTACGTATTACTGAGATCAAATGAATGAAAAAAGTTCATATAAACTTATATCCAAAAATTGCTTTATTGAAAAGATATATATATATATATATATGATTTATTTCCGATTCGTCGAATTAATGATTGGCGAGCTCTTTTTTTTTTTGTTTTTTTCGTATCCGTATTATAATTCTCAATAACGATATTGTTTACATACCATATGTTGATTTATAAAAATACGATAGAAACAGAAGATGAACTTTGACAATATATTCAAAATGAATTTATTATTATTTCCAATACAGTTAGATTATTTGAAAGAAATCGACAATTATTAATTCGACGAATGGGAACCTGTATTCTTGCAAGAAGAAGGAATTTTCGAACATTTCTTATAACCGCCAGAATAAATCATAAACATTTTTAAAGTATATATCTTTTCAATAAAGGATTTTTGATCGCATGGATTTATATGAACTTTTTTTATCTATTTGATCTCAGTAATACATAGTATAAGTTTAGTCCCATGCTTTTCAGACACCCAGTATATATACGCATATATATATATATATGTATATCGCAAATACTATTCATTAATTGTTATTTATTTAATTTAGAATGCAAGCAGAAAAGTATGGCTGCACATGTAAGAAGTCTATGTTAGTAACTCACGTTTTTATCATGTGTTTACGCTAAAACAGTATATTCATTATAACTTCTCTTTTTCTTTTTTCTTTTTTTTTTTTTTCTTTTCTTCCTTCCTTCCATTAGGGTACGAAAATAGGGGGAAATGTTGTTGGAAAGAAAGATGTTATCCCAGGACGATCGCAACGAAATGTCTCGTTAAGAACAACAATGGTATTTTCGTGCGTAAATGTTCTAATGTTTATTACCTAAAATAAATTTTCCTTAGATGTATCGGTTTTATTTTTACGTTTTAATAATGAAACGAATGTTCTAGCTGTTAATATGAGGACACGTCGATCTTTCTATTCTAAAAAACAAGCGAAGGTAACAATTAGAAAATATTATTATTTATTATTATTTAATAATAATAAGAAAAACATGTCGATATAATTAATATTGTAGTATTATTATTTGTATTATAAGTTTATATATATATATAAACGATGACAATATTTCTATCATATTTGACTATTAGTTTCTAGATTTGACTATACGTAATGAAAAAATATATTCCTGTAAGTGTCATTGGTACAAGTCCATTAATGGTACTTGTATTAGACACAAATCAAATAAAATCAAAAGACAAAGGTGTATACGAGTTTCGGAGGATGTTGTGGCCGATCTCTGGAAAATACAAAGGGTATGCGACATGATAAGATCACAGGATAACATTGCAGGAGGACGACGATTTCAAGATGAGTCTGTGAATATTGAAAAATTGATACAAGAGGAAACAACTTCGAGTTCATACGTCGATGCTAAAAATTGTTTCGTTCAAGACGCTTACACTCAATCTGTGTTTGAAGACGTAGAAAAAGAAATCTATGATTTTCGAAAGAACAACGATGAGAATGAATCGTTTAATCGCAAAAATAAAATCGATTTTAAGAAGAAAATAATTTCTAATGAAAACTCAACGGATCTATCATTTAAATTTAACAAAAAGGAAATAGAAGAAATAGAAGATAAATACGAAAGAATATCATTAAATTGTGATTACGAATGTAAGGAAAGTATTAACATTGAGACTTCAACCTATTTGAAAGAAGAAAATAAAACAAGTACTATAGGTACATGTACCGTTTCCAAAAATGATACTGATCTACCGTACGTCCCTGAGCTTGAATTAAAAGAGACATGTGATTGTAAACCAGAGTGCAATTGCGAGTATGAATTTTCGGAAGAACCTTTTGGAAACCATGATATCGAAGAAAAGAATAAATATAAAATTTTGAAGAAATATGATCGAGAAACGATACCAAAAAGATCTAAACAAAATCGAATGTTGAATACTAGGTAATCGAAAATAATATACATACACAGATATAAAATAGTACAAATAATTGTTGTATTTATAATTTTATTTAATTCTTTGAAGAAAGTAAAAATGATCGATGTTATTAATTTTTGCTCTTTTAGGAATCAAACTCATTGGAATTCGGATATTACTAATCCTTCTTATTGTAAATATAATCGAAATGTTTATGACGAGATAAAATCGAGTACAAGTGCAGAATCTCTGATTTATCCAAGAACAAAAATGAAGGTAACACGTACCAGTAGCCATGACCGAAACAATTTATTATTCTTAAAACGTTTAGAAAGGATCAAAAAGGATCCTCGACAAAGGAAGGATAATTTTGCCTTTCCACTAGTCCGTAGAATTAATATTAAGAAAGATCGTAGAGATCGATGTGATTATAACGATCGATTCTTGTGCTGTTGTAAACGTCTTAATTGTGATATAAACCGAAAAATGATTATTGAAGATAAATTTGTGGAGACCGAAACGAGTCAATCCAGAACGTCATCCTCTTCAACGAGTACTACGTCTAAAGATTACGATAAATCCTCTCGATCATTTCTATACGATAACAATTGTAAATGTCGATATTGTTGTACCTGTACATCTAATGATTTACAATCGGAAATAGAATACAAAGGCATTGAAAGAGAATCATCGAAAATCCATTATCCATTAAATCCATTATCATCAAACATAACATATAATGATGATAATAATAATTATTATTATAATAATTATTATTATAATAATAGTAATAAAAATTCAATTCGTCATTTTAATGTTATGAGATTATATTGCCAAAAGACATTGCCTCTAATGTATAGAAGATTGGAAAATCGTGAAAAGTGGATCAATGATCGTACGTTATGTGAATGATCATATATTGTGATTAATAAATAAGTCAAAGGATTTTTTTTTTGCTCGGCAAATATATTATACGAATTGGAGAAGGAAGGAATAAAGGAATATGAGAAAAACACGTCGTGTATAATGAAAGAAAAGGGAATAAGGGAAAAAAGAATAAAAAGAAAAAACTAAGCCAATAGAAAATAAGAGAAGAAAAAGAAAATAAGTTAAATGCTAAATGCTAAATGCTTTTTCAATTACGTAGTATTACTTTTTGATAATAGATAATAAATCAAAGTCAAATGTATGATCATCTTCTCTTCACCGACGCAAATGACATTATAAAAATGTAATTAATTGTCCCGATTAAATAAAGAACGAATTGTCGATCGAGAACGCATCGATCGCCGAAAGTTAATAATACAGAGGAGAATGAATCGAACTAACGACTCGTGTGTTAGTTGCTAGATCCTATGAATAAATTGGACATGCTTTAAAGAGATACGAGTGGTCTGGTGTGTGCCCGGAAAATGTGAAACTCAATTAATATGCGTCCCGTGTCTCTAGGTGAAGTGTCTATAAGTAGATCGGTTGCGGACACAACGTCAGTCATAACCATACATTATTTTCTGCTGTAGTGCGGAGATAGCCTTCTTTCTGCTAACGAGATGCTCTGACAATTTCGTTAGCAATATATTTAATACACACACACACACACACACACACACACACACACACACACACATATATACACACACACATATACACAGACATTTATAAACACGTTCTTCTATCTTCGTATATAGATTTCAGATTGATTTTTCAAGATGCTCTTATTATAAAACAACATATATAATTTAAATAACATTAATTTATTAAATACTCATTCTAATTCTAATTCTAATATAAAATCTTTACTTTCTTTCTTTCTTTCTTTTTTTTTTTTTTTTTTTTCTTACATATAAATATTAAATATATTGAAAAATAATATAATATAAATCTTATGCGTATGAAATAAAAAACAATGAAATTTACATTCCATAAAATTATACAATAATAATAATAACAACAATAACAACAACAACAATACATAGTAATGTTAAAATTGTGATTTTGTACATTCGTTAAAAAGCTTTTCCATTGAAATTTCTTTCGTTTTAATCCGTTTAAGAATCTTTCTGAAAGGCATCCTTTGTAAGAGAAACGTTGCAGCTGCGGCCCTTTCGCCTCATATTTTGCACGCATTCTAATAAAATAAAAGGAGATAGAGAGAGAGAGAGAGAGAAAGAGAGAGAGAACGAACTCAACTCAAGAAGCATTTCGAAATGGGAAGATGTTAAATGAGCAAACTGTCTAACTGTCAGTCCACCTAGTATTCGGTTTCTCGGCGCTTAGTGAAAATACGAGCTAAAATGATTCCGTAGTCTCCTCTAACTTTGGTGTTTCAAATACACACACATGTGCTATTTCCGTTTTCAGATACATATTTGATAAAAATTCATTGTTTTTTGTTTTTCTTTGGTTTTTTTTGTTTTTTTTTTCTTTTTTTTTTTTTTTTGTTTTTTTTTTTTTTTTTTTTTTTTTGTTTAGCAGTTCACTGCCACTTTTCATCTGTCCATACAAATTTTTATTCAACAATATATTCATCGATCGAATAAAACTTTTGATCCCGAAAACAATCCTGTATCCATTTACTGTTGATTACTTTTTTCATAGATTTCTTTATAGTTTCATCAACTTCCAAAGATTTCATAGATAACAATGAATTATCTTCAATGAAGATATAATTAACGTGTTCATCTATATCTTCTTTTATTATACCACCCATAAAGCGAAATTTAAATTTCGTTGAATTCGAACATTTCTTAAAATATCCGATAATTTGTTTAAAGATAGAAAATGGGGATATACCATTTTCGAACAATTCTTTATCCATTCCTTCTTCTTTGGTAAATGCAACTTCTTCGTTTTTTATCTAAAATTAACATTATATAATAAAATGGAAATAATAAATAATTTGATAATAAATTCATCAATATTTCAAAAAAAAAAAAAAAAAAAAAAAAAAAGAAAAGAAAAAAATAAATAAATAAATAAATAAATAAATAAAAAAAATCAATCGTACCATATGTTCTATCCGTTTTAAAGAACGTTGTAAACTTTCTTCATTAGCATCTATTGTATAACTGTCATAGTAATCATCGTATTTTTCAATAAGTGATCGTTTGGTAAAATCACGAATGCATAAAAGATCCCATGGTAAAAAACTTTCTAATGCAACCCAGTTTTCTTTTTTGATAATACGTTTATACCAATCTATGGTAACTACATCATATTTTCCACTTTGTATTATGTTACTCGCTTTCGCCTAAAAAAAAAAAAAAAAGAAAAAAAAAAAGAGAAAAAAGAAAACATTGGAAAGAAAGTAAATTGCTTTGAAAAACATCTCAAAGGTTTACACTTTTAAAAAAAATATTTTATTATAATATAATTAATTACCTTTTTGACATTTCCAACGATCACACAATAATTATCTTCACTTGGATTCTGTACGATTTTTGCATTATGCAATAAGAGCTTATTTTCTATATTTTCTTTAGATATTTCATTATTACCATTAATAACACAAATTTCTTTTCCATATAATAGACGTGTAATCGGTACGAGATTTTTATTTGATTGTATATTATTATAAAACACTTCTTCAAACTTTGACGAACTCGACTTTGTTATTTTCTTTTTCTTTTCAACAACTGATGTTTCTATATCATTCAATGTCGCCTTTCTTTTAGTCAATTTATGAATTGTTCCTTCAGTCTAAAAACAATATGTATATATATATATAAAGGAGAGAAAAGCAGAAAAACAAGATAAGTTAAATAATAATTGCAATCTAAAAAGTTTCTTCGTATATTTTCTGTACCTTTATCAATGATAAAAATTCTGTGTTAGTACAAACGCTATACCAAGGCTTATCTCCTCTAATCTGTATGACACGAGGAAAACGTAAAGTATAACCAATCGGAAAAACATCAGTTTTCACTATTTCCGTTGCTCGTAGCGTTAAAATCAATGAATGCTCAGGTCGAATCCATAAATCTGGGAGATGTTTCTGAAAATATAAGTCACATGTGTGTCTATTTGAGAAACAATATAAAATTATTATAAAGTATATACTCTTGAAATACCTTGGGTTTGATCACACTATTTGGACAGTCTTTAATCCAATACTTCTCCAATTTTGAATGAAGTTTCGTCAATTCTTCCATTGCAATGCCACTACACACTGATACAACAGAAAAAAATTGTGTAGGTTCTTTACCTTCAATTTCAGGCATTTTGGCAACACCCATCATAAAGCTGTTTATCAAACCATTAAACTTTCCTTCGCCATAATAACCTCCAAGAATAATTAAGTCTATATCTTGTACTAGATCTTCTGAGTACTAATAAAAAAATAACATTATACTGAGGCTTGTCGAAGAATCATCCAAAAAATTGCTATATATTGAAAGAAAGAAATAATTTAAAATTAAATATTACAGATATAATCCATGTTATATATACCTCAGCTTTTAATTTGTAGCAACCAGTTCCATTGCGAACATTTGGTTTATAAATGAAATCAGATTTTTTTAAAACTATTCCTTCTTCATTATTTTGAAGACTTTTATTAAAAATATCCAATAAATCTTTACTATATAAAACAATAAATAATAATTAACAAAAAAAATGATCATTAAGCATCATGGTTATACTTTTATAAATACCTATTAGAAATGATTGTATTTTGGCATTTAATTAATGAACCTTCTTCATCTTGAAATGCATCATTTAATATATTTAATCTTTCTTTATAGGGTAAATTAATGAGCAATTTATCATTATATAAAATAATATCATATGCCACAAAACAGGGTTGATAGGAACTATTAGCTGTAAGCTTTTTAACATCATAGCTCATACCTTTTGACCCAAACTCTTTCTTTTCTTTATCCCAACCCATTAATTCGCCATCCAAAATTATAGACTTACACTGTCGATTTAAACGACGCGAAAATGTACTAGTAAGAAAACCATCTAAAAGAAATTACTTTTACGAGAATTTTATATATATATATATATGATTATTATAATGAAAATCTTATTCTCTGTATCTACCTGAATTACTTTTTCCATATCCCCAATTATTTGTGATATCAATCCCTTGTCTTGTGAAGTATTGGAATATACCATCTTTCATATGTATTTGGGAACGTTCACCATCAAATTTCATTTGTACAAAATACTCATGATTATTATGAAAAAGTTGTGAAGCATCCTTAATTGTAGATCTTTCCAAATTCATAGATTTGAAAAATGAGAAAATTTCAATATTATAATTAATTTCCTTTTTACCTTGATCAAAATTATCACAAAGTTTTTGTAAGTTGAAATTTGTATCAAAACATTGACCTGCTTTTGGATGATAAACTAGAAAAAAAAAAGCATAAAAAATTTTTTAGTACAAATTTTGGATATTTACCAACAGATATGATATATTAAATCGTATCTCTTTTATACTGCTACAAACCTTGCAATAGTTTTTTTGTTCCAACGCCTAACTTTAGATCCTTTAAAATAATACGAGTCAACCATTTTAATTCTAATGCGCTTATTTGTCTAAATAATTCTTTAAATAATTCATCTTTACTATTATTCGTTTGATTTGCTTTTGATATATTATCTAAAAATATATTTATTCTATCTATTGTATATGATTCCTTCCCATGTAACAAATATTTTCTCACAACTGAGTAAATTATTTCAGAAATGTCACTTCCTTCAGATTTACTTGAATTAGGAATTCTAAAAAATAAATATATTAATATTCGTACAAATTAGCAATATGTAAAAGAAAAAAAAATTATAATACCTATAATTTATCAGTTTCTTGGCATCTTCACTAGATTTTCCAAGACAAAGTACACGAATATAAATATTTGTTAGTAATTTTTGCTTCAAATTATATGATGAACGTTTACGATCGCATTGTGGTAAAAGCAATCTTAACACAGGAAACATTGAAATATTCTAATAAGAGAGAAAATAGAAAAAGATTATTAAATATTAATAATATTTGAATTAATTTTTAACTTACTGCATTTGAATCGTCTTTTTTTAATTTACCACCTTCCTTTTTACATTGCAAAATAAATTCTTTTAGAATTTTAATCTTTTCGGAGGCACGTGCTTTAATAACTTTTTCTAAGACATCGCACAATCTTTTAAATGTAATTTTTGAAGCTAATGATACACTCATCTTTGAATAAACCTTTAAAATAAAATATGAAATTAAGAACTAATTAAAGTAGTTCATGGAACAAATACTTAAAAAGTTGTTCACTTCCTTTTGTTCAAAGCTGGTGTGACTGCAGCGATAGATATGGACAAAATATGAACTATACAAATACAAGCGGAGAACGTTGTCTCCCCACCATGCGTCCATCGTATCAATATATAAGCTTAGTTGATTATTTCCCCTCTCATGCGTACATAACAATTGGTTTCGTGTGAGTTAAAGTAAAGAGTTTAGTACTACTAAACTACTTTATGAACGTACACCTTTCAGTCTCTCCATATGTATTTCTTTAATGGTAGAATGCATCTCGCAGTGATCCGTATTAGATAAGATATCGATAAGCATTTGTTTTACGATAAATCCATAGAAAATAATAAATATAATTGACACATATAAGAATAAGTATATAAAGTTGAACTATGACAAAAATAAGAATTTGTCTAATATTTTCTTAAAAATAATTAGTGAATATTTATACATTATATTATTTTAATACATATTAAAACATGAGTTCATTTCCACACTACTTATAATATAGAACTCTGTGTTTTTTTTTTCTTACATAGTTGCCCCTGTAGGACTAGATCACTCTATACGACTTCGACTATTACTATTACTGATAATAATAATAATAATAATAATAATAATAATAATAATAATAATAATAATAATAATAATGTATTTAAATATTATTTTACATTTTATATTATAATAGTAGAGACAACTTTAGTTTCGACTGATCTTGAGTAATAAATAGTAAGAAAACAAATACATAACAATAATAAGATAACAATAATAAGACGAAAATAAAAGAAACGTTTCAAACTTTTCATCATATGTCATTTTTTTATTTGCACTACGTTGTAACCACTACAATGGTATCTATGAAGAACTTTGTATTTTTATACATGTAGGATGACATTTCAGCATATGGTTATTGTAAATAATCCGGCGAAATATTCCTGGTAATAGCTGGTAACTTATAATAAAAATGACAGAGTTGCTGAAAGATAATATTAAAAATTGTTCAGAGAACAATGAGTTAGACGTATCTGTCGATAGGCGGTCATGTGTTGAAATTATCAAGGACACGATTTGTTGAGAATTCTATCCATCAAACCATTATATAAAATAACACATTTTTACTTCCTTTGTTATTATAAATTACCATCATCGTATGTATCAAAATGTATATAATATAAATATATTCTTCTATTCCTTATTCTTATTACTGTTCTTGTTACTTATTATATATTGTTATTATAATAATAATAGTAATAGTAATAATATGAAGTGAACTTTTATAGAGGAAACCATAACAAAATAGTACTGAGAGAAAAATCTAATAGATTATGAGGAAATGAGCTTGTGTTTTGATTTTTATTAAAAATAATATATAATATATATATATATATGTTCATTAATTATTAATTTTGAAAAAATAATGCATATACTTTATATCCATTTGTCATCGAACAAAATTATACTGCTACTATGTCCTATCTAGTACAGATCAATACAAAATTCATGTCAATCATTAGTGAAGGAAATAAATATAAGAGAATGGATAGTAATATTCTATTAAATTATCAAATAATTTTCTTTATAGCAAAAACACAATTGGTTGTGCTTAAATGATGATTGCAGCTTGCGATGTTGCGATGGTCAAGACCTGCTAGCAATTTGAGACTTGACCACTGAATAAAGATCATTCCGTTGCTTTGATTCTGTAATAATAGTAGTAGTAGTAAAAGTAGAATTCATCGTAAACACGGAGGTCTCCATATTGATATATTGAAATCTTAAAGGATACATATACTACCGAGCGAATGATCTTATATTTTAAGACTTCTTTAAATATTCAAAAATATTTCATATTTTAAGAAATCTTTTCTTTCTATTTTTTATTAAATACTAAAATACTAACACTTAACATTGCCAATAATATTTCTAGAGGTAAAGAGATAAAATATAATTAAGATAATATTTCTTTAAATTTAATATTTCTTTAAATTTTTTATTTTTGTTTACATTGATACAATAAAAAAAACCACCGGAATTATTTTAGCTTCGAACCTAAAATGTCCCCTGTATTACAAATCTAAATGCTTGCCAATGTGTTACACATTGGTTATAAAATCTATCTTTTTAAGTCTATAAAATCTAAAAGGAACTATACATTTTTCCAAAATTTAACAATATTTTAAAAACACAGATACATCGACAAAGAACGATTGGACACATATTTCTTTATTTTTGCCATAAAATCATCTAATCAAATCTCATTAAAATGACCAAATGAATTTTACCATAGCTTCTCTGCGTGAGCATCGTGAAATGCATTTTTTGCATTTGGAAATGTTCAAAAAATCTAAGTACCAGCTATTTACGCATACAAACAAGCAGAGAATCACTGCCTCATGGACATAGAAAATATCCATTCAAGCGTGTATGTTAAAATCAATAGTGAAAGTACAAGGTTCTTATTTAAAAGCTTTATTTTTTTGTAAAAAAAATCGTGTTAAAAAGAGAATTTTTCGAGAATACTTTATACACAAATAAAAATCTTTTTTCAATAATTCTAAAACTACGTATTGTAAATTAAATCTTTGCCTTTAAAAGAAGACTTTGTTCATCAAAATCAATCAAGAATTACGCCTGTTCTCATTGATGGCGTAAACCATTAAAATACCAGAGATTATGAACAATCTTAATACTTTATTTTTATTTAAGAGCTATTAATACTTTTTTGGCAAAAAATATGTACATTTATAATATAAGATATCTATTAATTTCTTATACTATTTATACATGTAACTTATTTATAATGTTTTTAAATAGTAATATATTCTTCAAGATACATTCTGGCAAGATTAAGATTTTCAGATTGTAAATATATAAGATGAAGATTAAAAGCTGCTTCTTTTTTCAAGTCTAAAAGTTCTTCATTTTGTTTAACTAAATCTCCTGGATCTGAATGAAGAACTAGTTTATAATAGTGTATAGCTGTTGGCAACATTCCAATTTGATGAAATGCACGTGCTATATTATAATATGTTTCGTGTTGACCTTCCACTCCTCGTAATTGTGCATATTTCTTAAAGAATGCAATTGCTACAATTCAATAATAAATGATGTATTTAATCATTCATAATAATTATATTTCATATCTAAATACTGATAAATATAAACATTCCTTGAATTATTAATCTTATTCCTTTATTTTTATTATTAACCTATTCCTTAAATTATTAATAATTACCTTGAATTATTAATTGATTCTTTTTTGATGAATGCTTTTGACATGACATTTGTAATAAAGTAACAGAAATTAATAAGGCCAATAATGCATTTGGCGTAACTCTAAAGAGGGATATGTAATCATTCAGAGCATAAGTATATGTCCCACAGACAAGGCAATTATTTGCATGCATTATATGCAAATGAGAAAATGCATCTTCTCGTCCAAGTAAACGCATTATGAATCTATTGTGTCTAGAATCTTCAGCTTTTTGAATAACTATATTAAGTAAATTCCATGAATTTGAACGTTGACAAACTTTTACTATTTCCCGCACAATATTGTAACCATAATAAGAATCATTATTGTGAATACAAGCCAATAAACATAAGAACATGATATGAGAATTCCTCTTCTCAAATCTTTTAGATGTCAATGCACTAAAAGATATTCTTTGTAGTAATCCATATCTTTTCAATTCACAAGCTAACTTGCACATTTGAATATATAAAAGGAATTCATTCTTTTCACTTGGTTCATCACTGTTAACAAATGTTGGTACATTTTCTTCTTCAAGTTTTTCACCACATGATAGTCGATGCAATTGTAAACTTTCAAGACGTTGACGTATTCCAGTTGCTCTTGTTAATGCACCAAGCTCAGCTTTTGACCTAATATTAATACAATGTCTTGAAAGTAATAACATTCCAGATTGAAAATACTCATCATATTTTTGAGTTTTGAAGAGCAAAAGTGTCCTCATATAAATTACATTAGGATCTAGTGCATCTGATTCTGGATCTTGTTTAAGAACTTCTGCTGCCTTAATGTATTGGCCTTTAAACTTATAAAGTTTTGCTAATGCTAGTCTAGCACCTAAATGCTGAGGAGATAATTGTTTAACAACTTCATAAGATTTAATAGCTTTTTTTAGATCTTTACAGCCAACCCAACATTCTGCGTGTCTTAACCAAACAGCTGCTAAACTAAAGTTGTTGCTATTAACTAATGGATCTAATAAGTCCAGAGCTCGCTGGAATTCTTTTTTTCCCATAAAAGCCTCTGCTACATCTAAAAATAAATCTCCAGATATCTCTGGATCTTCTTTCAACAATTTAGGTAAAAGTTTATCTGCCATACTAATTTCATTCAGTTCAATAAGAGTTATAAGAAATTTTGCTTTTAAATCTACAACTACATCGTCTGGTATATCACAGGTTTCTATTGTAGATATATTAGGAGGTTCTGAATCTTTTTTATCAGAAATATCTATCTCCTTAAATTGAACCCAGATACTAGTGTACTTAGTTAGAGTATCTAAACATCTATTAAAATGTTTTAAAGTAATTAACAATTCTGTCATAATATTGACTTCTTCTAATGTTATCAATTCAGGACACTTAACAAAAATATATTCCATAGCATCTAATGCTTGTTCATTATTATTTTCTTGCATGTGTCGTTTTGCTAGTATTTTTGCATATTTTAATATTTCTTCACCATTTTCTGAATCCAGATGATGTAACAATTTTGTATATGCTTTCAAATGAGCTCTTTTATCTCCATTTTGCTCTTGTAGTTGTATTAATGATTCATACAAATGTATTTCTTTTGGGCTAGCTTGAATAGCTTTCGAATAACATGTTATTGCTTGTTTTATATTGCCACTCTCTAATGATAAATTAGCCAATCTAGCCCATTGATCGGCATCCTTTGGACTGAGATGTGCTGCTATTAATGCAAATTGTAATGATTTCTCAGGCTGATCATTTTCATATATCATTGCTAAGGTTTGAAATGGTTCTGGAGCACTTGGTACCTGCCTGTAGAATTATTAATCAATCATGATTTGATTATTATTAAGTAGCTCCTTAATTAGATTAGAAAAATTTAACTTGCCTAATTATTTCCATACACATTTGTGCTGCTAATGTTGTTTCTCCTCTTGCAAAACGTAAATTTGCTTCTCCCATAAGACCTTGCAAAACAGGGGGAAGGGTTCTCCGTTTCCTTTTTGGTCCTGCTTGTGAAAATGTTGATAACTTTTGTTCTTTTTTATTTATAATTTGTTGTGAAACTGCTTGTTCACTTTCTGAATCTCTTCTAAAAATGATATTATCTATCAGTGATATTCAATACATAAAAGTTTCATATTTTTCTTAGTACATACTTAGAAACATCCGTATCTGAGATTTCTAGTTCTGGATTTTCATCCATTTTAGAGGAATATTCACTGAATGTTAATTCACCATTTAAAAATTGTTTAGTTAATCTATCTTCTTCTTCAACAGTTAGTAGTACATTTTGATCATCTATTTCCATTATAATGTCATTAACAGGACTACTTTGCTCAGAATATGTATAAGATGGAATTATTGTTTCAGATACATCTTGTACTTCTAAAGCTTTAGCTTCTACAAACTCAGTCATATCTACGTCCATGGAATTAATAGCATTTTCATCTAATTCTTCTATGATTATTGGTATAACATTGGTATCATGATCGAGAATCATTATATCTTCTTTGTCTTTTTCCGCTTTAGCCTCAGAATTTATTTCAACATCCAGATTTGTTTTATTATTATCCTCTGTAAATTGCTCCATATTTCACTGTTAATATAATACAGTAACAAAATTATTCTTTATAAAATACTTGAAGTAAAAAATATTCATTTATATTTTATGCTTTCATTTCATTTAGAACAACACATCTTATCAACAATTGTAAACAATAATTTAGACTTATATGTTTTATTATACTTTTTATTTAAATTATTGTAACCGTTAATTATATAAAATAAAACTTAAAATTTACGATTGATTAAGTAAATTTTTAAATAAACATTATACTCTTATATATGTACATATATATATATATATATATACATATATATTATATATATATATATATATATATATATATATATATAAAATGTTAAAAAAAGAAATAATTTATATTCACATAAAATACTTACAAATTAATTTTATATCTGGCTTTCTTATTATTACAACATTTATTTTTTATTTACAAAATTGTAAAATTAAATGATTATCAAAAGGTACAATTAATAATTGAAATTGGAATATATAGGAATTAAAAACTACCTTATAAATTCGTAGTAAATAATATTTACGTAGTACTTTTATGTGAATTGTTATCGTGTAGTGTCAGCACTTAAATTTTATTTAACCTCATTGCAATTACACCTCTGTCTTTAAATGCAATGAGATTTGTAAACATCGAAGCATGGATAACGTGATATATATAATTTCGTTGTATGTATACTTTACAATGTGTTTACAAATTAAGAAATCAATGACTTACCTATAAAAAAAATAATTAAAAATGTACGGCTGCAAGATTTCAATGTGAATTTCTATGATAAATAAAACTTAAGGTTATGACGTGAAAGATAAATATATCGTTACCGTAAGTAAACATTTATTCTTCATTATTATCTTTATGATAAAATTAAACATTGTAAGTATTCAAGCTTTATTAATATATAGTTGATTTTATAAATTGAAAAAATATACTGAGTAATAGATGAATGATTCATTGTCAATAACTACACAATAATGTTTAATTAAAAAAATAGATAGAAAAAAGAATAAAAAATCAACCATGTTATACAAAATATATTCTAATATTGTTATTGAATAATAGATAATTTAAATGATTTATAATTTTCAGTTTGTCCTAAGAGTATGAAGTCGCATATATCTTGGCTGTACATTACTTTGGTATTACTACTTACCTTTACGAACAAATCAAGTAATCACCAATTAAACTGTTCATTAGGAGAAGAACAGACTCGTCATAACCCAGCACATAATAAGTCAGAATCATATGATACCTACTCGATATCATCATGTGATTTACATCATAATATGCACGAAGTTAAAGTTCAATTTTCATCTAGAATTGTTAAAAATGAATATATTGTAGCATTCAAAGGCTACTACAAACCTCATGCTCGTAGAAATTATATATGTGCTGCATTAAATTCATCTGGAGTTAATAATTGGAAACTATTAGCTAGAAATAATTTGGCAAGTAATTTTCCAAGTGATTTTGATGTAGTTCTCTTAGAAGAAACTGATAATTATCATGGACTCAATGCTTTAATGGATCATCCACTCATAAAAAGAGTAACACCTCAGCGACTAGTACATAGAAGTTTAAAATATATTAATATCACAGAAGAAGGAGAACTTCCAGAATATAAAGGATTCAAAAGGAAAATTAATACTTATGTATGTTTTCACATATAGAAATAGGTAAGATTAATTTGTATATACATATATTATAGAAACTTTTTAATTTTAGGGTAATCATTTCTGGCAACCAATAAATCGACATGCATCTCGTAGGTTGCTACGTGCTATTCCAAGACAAATCACAAGTATACTTCAAGCAGATGCATTATGGGGCATGGGTGTAACAGGTCATGGTATTAAGGTGAATAATATAAATAGTTAATAAGTAGATATGAAATATAGTTAATATAATTTAAAATGAAGCTTTTAATTGTATTATACATATCAGGTAGCAATATTTGATACTGGATTAGCTGCTAGCCATCCACATTTCAAAAAAATTAAAGAACGTTCGAATTGGACAAATGAGAAAACTTTAGAGGATGGTTTAGGTCATGGAACATTTGTTGCTGGTGTTATAGCTTCATCTTCTAGAGAATGTCTTGGATTTGCACCAGATGCCGAGTTGCATATTTTTCGTGTTTTCACTAATGCTCAAGTATATATATATATATATATGTGTCTAATATTCTTAACTGTTTTTATAAAATGTATAATAATCTATTGAAAAATATTCCTTTATTATTTTCTTCTATGTTTTGTTTGATATAGGTATCATATACATCGTGGTTTCTTGATGCATTCAATTATGCTATACTAACTAAAGTTACAGTACTAAATCTCAGTATTGGTGGTCCAGACTTTATGGATCATCCATTCGTTGATAAAGTTTGGGAACTTACAGCAAATGGTGTAATTATGGTGTCTGCAATTGGAAATGATGGTCCTCTTTATGGGTAAATGCCAACTATTGTTATTATTTGTGTTTTTATTCATATTACAAATCTCTCATATCTTATACAGAACATTAAATAACCCTGCTGATCAAATGGATGTTATTGGTGTTGGAGGTATAAATTGGGAGGATCAAATAGCTAAATTTTCATCAAGAGGTATGACAACATGGGAATTACCATCTGGTTATGGAAGAGTTAAACCTGATTTAGTTACATATGGATCAGGAGTGAGAGGTTCGGCATTGCAGACTGGTTGCAGAACACTCTCTGGTACTTCTGTTGCTAGTCCCGTTGTAGCTGGTGCTGTAGCACTTTTAGCAAGTGGTTTTGTCCAACCAGATGGATCTCAAAATGTTAAAAGAAGGGTAATTATTATTTTGAAAAGTATATATCTATTTTTATATATACATTGAGAATATTTATATTTTCAAAACTTAAACTTTTTTGTTATAAGAAGGTAACACCGGCTAGTATGAAACAAGCATTACTTAGTTCCGCACGACGTTTACCAGGGGTTGGTATGTTTGAACAAGGAGCAGGAAAATTAGATTTGTTGAGGGCGTTTCATTTTTTAAGATTATACACGCCCATGTGTACTCTCAGTCCAAGGTAACTACTCTTTTATCTGTAATAAATAAAACAATAAAACACTGAGGTCATCTATGTTTCATAGATAATATAAATTCAGTTACATAGATTTGACTGAGTGCCAGTACATGTGGCCATATTGTACTCAAGCTGTTTATCATACTGGTATACCAATAATCGTAAATATAACAATAATAAATGGATTGGGTGTTTCGGGTCATATTACGGATCTTACTTGGCATCCATATACTGGTAATGGTAACGGCGAACGAATTGATATATCATTAACGCACAGCGATGTTCTATGGCCATGGTCCGGCTGGTTAGCAGTTTCTATAACTGTTCCATCGAGTTCTCGTGATTGGCAGGGTATAGCACAAGGTAATATAACTTATTAAATAGGTATCATATTGAAAAAATCATGTTAATATTATATTCATACATAGGTCATATATCTATAACTATAAAATCACCGCCAAGTGATGGAGAAGAAGAATCTCGTCAATCGACGATTGAACTACCATTAAAAGCCAAAGTTATACCAACTCCGCCTCGACAGTAACTATAAATAATACATGCTTTGTTGTGATCTGTACAATTTATATAACATTATCATTTATATTATACATGTAATTATTATGATTATTGTTTAACAGCAAACGTATTCTTTGGGATCAGTACCATAACTTACGTTATCCTCCAGGATATTTTCCAAGAGATGATTTACATGCAAAAAGTGATCCTCTTGATTGGAACGGTGATCATATTCATACAAATTTTAAAGATATGTATCAGCATTTACGCAATGCTGGATATTATCTCGAAGTACTTGGCCATCCATTTACCTGTTTTGATGCTAAAAATTATGGAACGTTACTCATTGTTGATACAGAAGAAGAATTCTTTCCTGAAGAAGTACGTATTTTTTTCTTTATTTATTTATAAGGAAAGATTTTCCTTTTTTTTATTTTCATTTTATAATTATATAATTAATGGATTTTCTTTCTAGGTGGCAAAATTAAAACAAGACGTCGAAGAAGATGGGCTTTCTGTAATTATTTTTGCAGATTGGTATAATGTTACTGTCATGCGAAAGGTAAAATTTTATGATGAAAATACTCGTCAATGGTGGGTTCCTGATACCGGAGGTGCAAATATACCAGCTTTAAACGACCTTCTATATCCTAACTGGGGAATAGCATTTAGTGATCAAGTACAAGATGGTCAATTTAGTCTTGGTCAACATTCACCCGTATCTTTTGCTTCTGGATCAACTATTGCTCGGTAAACTATATTTAATTTATCCCAATAATTTATCCCCCAAAAATTATATAGAAACATTTAGATGATATGTTTTTACATGAAACACATAAGATTTCCACAAGACGGAGTTCTACTTTATGCAAAATTACGTGATCAAGGTCAAGAATTTCTTCTGGAAACTGAAACAGGATCGTCAAAACTTGTACCAATTCTTGGACTTTTACAAACTAAACGTTATGAAAGTGTTAAGGAGAACTACAATATCAAGGATAACGATATAAAAGATTTTGAAGAAGAATCTTCAGAAGACAATCATGAGAAAGAACATGTAAATGATAGGCCTGGTAGGCTTGTAGTATATGGAGATTCAAATTGCATTGACGACAGTCATTTACAAAAACGTATATATTTTGATCATTATCTTATTTCAATAATGATTTATTAAAATTAATGATTTTATATATATATATATATTTTATATATTGCTTAAAAAAATATATGATATTTTTCTAGCTTGTTTCTGGATGCTCGATGCCATTTTAGAATATACAACTACAGGCCGAATAGCAACTATATTTATGAATGAAAATTCACATCCAAATAAAGATCCAAAGGAATCAGATCATTTCGAGAATAACATATTACCTCAACGAATAGAGGGTAGCAATTTCAAACGCCATAGCAAGGTAGTAGCATCTGAAGGTACTGGAGCAGGTCGTTATCGTCCACTACCATCGTGTCCCACTATTACGCTAGCTTTACCAAAACCAGTTAATGAATCTGCACCCACGTAAGCATAATAATATTTTTCATTCATTAATATGCAACTAAATAATCATAAATATGTTTGTACGAAAATAAACATAAATTAATCTAAGGATAAATAATTTTGTAAAATAAGGCGCAGCAATATTTTTACAGAAATTTTATCCTATTGTTATATTTCAGAAATTTATATAAATCTCAAAAATTACTATCTGTGGGAAGTGGAATAATGGCTGCAAATCCAATTCCACAAGAAGATTCATTATGGCTTAAACGACATATTGGAGCAAGTGTTCCTTTCTTATATAATAATAATTTAAATGGAGTTGTTAATAACATAAAGCAAAATGAACAGGACCATCAAGTGACTGTAAATCAATGGTATTATATAGTAATAATTATTATGGTAGGCGTGATTCTTTTTTGTTTACTGAATCGGTGGA